GGTGTTTACAGTGAACATATAAGTGGAACAGTATTTAGATAAGGCTAAAGAGATCTTTGTGGCATTTATGGATTTGGAAAAGGCGTATGACAGGGTGGATAGGGGGGCAATGTGGCAGATGTTGCAAGTGTATGGTGTAGGGGTAGGTTACTGAAAGCAGTGAAGAGTTTTTACGAGGATAGTGAGGCTAAAGTTAGAGTATGTGGGAAAGGGGGAATTTTTTCCCAGTAAAAGTAGGCCTTAGACAAGGATGTGTGATGTCACCGTGGTTGTTTAATATATTTATAGATGGGGGTTGTAAGAGAAGTAAATGCGAGGGTCTTGGCAAGAGGCGTGGAGTTAAAAGATAAAGAATCACACACAAAGTGGGAGTTGTCACAGCTGCTCTTTGCTGATGACACTGTGCTCTTGGGAGATTCTGAAGAGAAGTTGCAGGGGATTGGTGGATGAATTTGGTTAGGGTGTGCAAAGAAGAAAATTAAAGGTGAATACAGGAAAGAGTAAGGTTTATGAGGATACAAAAAGATTAGGTGATGAAAGATTGAATATCAGATTGGAAGGGAGAGAGTATGGAGGAGGTGAACGTATTCAGATATTTGGGAGTGGACGTGTCAGCGGATGGGTCTTTGAAAGATGAGGTGAATCATAGAAATTTATGAGGGAAAAAAAGAGTGAGTGGTGCACTTAGGAGTCTGTTGGAGACAAAGAACTTTGTCCTTGGAGGCAAAGAGGGGGAATGTATGAGAGTATAGTTTTACCAACGCTCTTATATGGGTGTGAAGCGTGGGTGATGAATGTTGCAGCGAGGAGAAGGCTGGAGGCAGTGGAGATGTCATGTCCCGAGGGCAATGTGTGGTGTGAATATAATGCAGAGAATTCGTAAATTTTGAAGTTAGGAGGAGGTGCGGGATTACCAAAACTGTTGTCCCGAGGGGTGAGGAAGGGTTGTTGAGGTGGTTTGGGGCATGTAGAGAGAATGGAGCGAAACAGAATGACTTCAAGAGTGTATCAGTCTGTAGTGGAAGGAAGGCGGGGTAGGGGTTCGGCCTAGGAAGGGTTGGAGGGAGGGGGTAAAGGAGGTTTTGTGTGCGAGGGGCTTGGACTTCCAGCAGGCATGCGTGAGCGTGTTTGATAGGAGTGAATGGAGACAAATGGTTTTTAATACTTGACGTGCTGTTGGAGTGTGAGCAAAGTAACATTTATGAAGGGATTCAGGGAAACCGGCAGGCCGGACTTGAGTCCTGGAGATGGGAAGTACAGTGCCTGCACTCTGAAGGAGGGGTGTTAATGTTGCAGTTTAAAAACTGTAGTGTAAAGCACCCTTCTGGCAAGACAGTGATGGAGTGAATGATGGTGAAAGTTTTTCTTTTTCGGGCCACCCTGCCTTTGTGGGAATCGGCCGGTGTGATAATAATAAAAAAATAATATATATGTGTGTGTGTCTGGGAATTTTAAAAGGTTTTGCATTTAATTTTTTTTGGGGGTGTTTTATATCTGCCGAGTTTAAAATTCGCAGAGCTGTCAATACATAAATAAAAATACAAATTGATAGATATATTTTTTTTTAATTGGCAATAATATAAAATGTTTGATTTTTGGACCAAATCTAACTTAGAAACTTCACTTAACCAAACATAAACAAGTGTATTTTGTTTTAGCTAACTTCTGCTATGTACAGCTTAGTTCAGCTTAGATTTAATATTGTTTCAAATCAATTTCTTCTATTTGTCCAGCTTAATTTCTGGTGATTTATGTCAAAAGCAAACTTATATTCTGCGTATTTGGCAAAGGACACTTGCCGAATAAGCTAAACCCGTAAATTCGGCTTAATTAATCGGTACGATTATATATATATAGGTAAAACTGGCCAATTAGCAAGAACTCATTTAAAATTCTTTCTAAAATTTTCTCTTGCACGTTTAAAGATATATTTTTCATTTATGTTAATGTAAAAATTAATAATTTTTTACCAAAAAGAACCTTAGAAAATTTACCTAACCTTATTATAATGAGTGCAATTTAATTTAGCCTAATACAATGAAATATATTTTTTTCAGTTAGGTTCAGAATGATTTTTGCGAAATTACTGCATACACAAATTTTCGCTTGCCTTATTCGGTAAGAGCGTTGCTATTTAAGCCAAAATCTCAAGTTTTAACTTATTCGGCACGACTTGTATAAATATATTACAAATATTTTTATTGCTGTTAGATATTGAACGAAATGTAATGTCCTTGATATAATTACCTTTAAGGGCTTCACTGCTGCTCGGGTACATCTAATATATAAATATAGCCTCTTTTGTTCACTTACTATTTAGATACGTTTGTTCTATTTTCTTTCCATTTACGTTGTACCAGGAATTTAGAGTCGAGTGTGCCCTTTCCTGAGCACTCTACCGTGTGTATTTTAATTACAGCAAGAAGAAAAAATAGTGTGTGTTTTTGTTGAGATCTCTGGTTTCTTTAAGTATTTATTTATACGCTGAATATGATCACGTTCTCTTGGCTCTTATTGTCCACCTGCTGACTCAGTCTTAATGAGGGGAAAAAATCATATATTATGTAGAAAAATATTTATTACAATTGTAAGCATATGTACAAAAAAATACAAATATTTTGATATGTACACAGATATGTGATGAACATGAAAATGAACAAGTGATATGACACATGCAAGACCTCCCTACATACAATATATACATGGCAAGGCCATCATGCCTGCGCCAGGCGACCGCATACTTCCCAACACTATACTCAACATGATAGATATTTAATTTTTAATTCTCTTGTAAATTGAAGTTTAATTTTCCACAAGGATACCTTACTAATTACTTATTGTCATTTTTCGCTTTGGCATGATAATGTTCGATAACAGTCGTATTTTACAGCTGAACATATTCTGTAGGAATTTTGAAATATTATTTTCCTTATCAGATCAGGAAAACACACAACTTCATATATGAAATTAGCTTTGGGCTTTAATAATTTTACATCCTGAGATAAACCAATATTGTTGCGTAATAAAAACTTTTTATTAGTCCTAAACCTATTTTAGTCTGCCAAGAAAAATTGTCTCGGATCTATAAAACCCAAAGACAGAGGTCATCAGGCAGAATTCAGAATTCCCCCTGTAAAGTCTACACATGCACTCAGAACCTGTACACCACCAAGTTTCTGATGGGCTAATGGTAACAATCAGGAAGACGGGATGGGGATTAAGAATTGACTGTCACCATACTGATTGGGTTCACACCAATCCACTTTGAACATAAAAACATCTGGGAGGGATAAATAAACATTGTAAATACGATTATAGGTATGGTTATGAAATGTTCAGGTGTGTGTGTGTGTGTTTGCTTTTGGGAGTCGTGCTTCCTGGCCACGTCTAGCTTCACAGTCCTCCATCATACCTTAAAGCTGTACAAGTCTGTCGACACTTCATTCAGGTCATTCGACGTTCTGACCTTCCTGGGATTAAAATATATATTTATTTGTTTATTTGCATCAATAACTTTCATCGGTGCTATTATTTTATTACCTGCCTCTTCCACAGAATTTCCTTGTCCTCTGTCTTGAATGTTATGTCTTCCCTGGCTATTGTATCATAAAAAGTGTAATATATACGAGCGTGTGTGTACTCACCTAACTGTGGTTGCAGGGGGTCGATTCAAAGCTCCTGGCTCAGCCTCTTCACTGGTCGCTACTGGATCACTTCCTGCTCTATGAGCTTTTATCATACTTCTTAAAGCTATGTATGGATCCTCTTCCTCCACTACATCACTCTCCAGTTGTGACCCCTTGTTGCTGTGTCCCATCTCTGGACTATCTTGTGTGTCCACCTTGTCAATTCCTCTCAGTATTTTATGTTACCATGTCCCCCCCCCTTTCTCTCTCTCGCTCCTGTCCTCCAGTGTCGTCAGGTCGATTTCCCTTAACTTCTTCTCGTAGGATATGCCCCTTAGCTCCGGGACTATTCTCGTTGCAAACCTTTGCATTTTCTCTAATTTCTTGACGTGCATGACCAGGTGTGGGTTCCAAACTGGAGATGCATACTTTATTATGGGCCTGACGCACACTGTGTACAGAATCCTGAACTATTCCTTACCGAAGTGTCGGAACACTATTCTTATGTTAGTCACCCATATGCTTCAGCGGTTATTTGGTTGATGTGCGCCTTAGGAGATGTGCTCGCTATTATGCTCACTCCAAGATCCTTTTCCTTGAGTGAGATTTGTAATCTTTGGCCCCTCTAGACTGTACTCTGTCTGCGGTCTTCTTTGCCCTTCTCCGATCTTCATGACTTTACACTTGGTGGGGTTAAACTCTAGGAGCCAGCTGCTGGACCAGGCTTGTAGTCCTGCCTAATCGTTGTCCGATTGAATTCTCCTCATTAGCTTCACATCGTCTGCAAACAGGGACACCTTTGAGTCTATCCCTTCTGTCCTATGTGTGTGTGTGTATTCGTTTGTTTACAAGAGACGAATTTTTGGTCCTGATACTATTGTCTGTAGTTTGAAAAGAATTACTGACGTCTTGGAGGTTATTATACTCTTGAAACTCTTTATTGAATTTCCATCCACTCGTCTTTTTCAGCTGTTTCCTTATCCCCATTTTTAATTCGAAACTATTTGTGACCTGTACAGTCCTGTTAAACATTTGCTTTGTTTTAACTATGTTCCCCTTTTCTCTGACAAAGTTGTCAGGTTTTGTTTGGTGAAGCTTTAATCGCATTGAATTCTTCTCGGTTCTAATATTAAATTAAATGCAATTCTTCAAACATTTTTGTTTTGTGTGTGCACATACTTGACTAGATGGGAGCTCCACTTTGTATGTCTGTGTTTAGGCATTTCTCTGTATGAGGCGCATCAAGGTGTAATATAAACTAGTCACTGGGAGAGATCAACTCTCATGGAGACAAAATATGGAAAAATGGTTGTGTATTTAGACCAATTCGTATCTTTTTCAACAGATTCCTGGTGAAGAAGACCTCAGTTGGAGGTAGAAATATACTATTCTTCCCTTTTTTTTTTTTTAATACACGTGGGCTTTTTTCTCTCTCCTCTATATAGGTGTGTAGTACTCTCAGGGAAATGACATACAACAGAGAAATAACCAACTGCACGAGTTGCTTCTGATATGGGAATAATTATATGAAAGGACTCGAGTACTCCTAGGTTCTTCATTTACCTTTGTATGACAAACTTTAAATCACAAATACATTAATTCTTTGAAACTTGGGTACTTCACTTGATTTCTTAAATCTGTCTTTTCTTGAGATGGCTGTCAGTATCTGATGTCTTGACTCTGCATCAATCTTCACACAAATATGCCAGTGTTTAAATGCATACATGTGAAATCATACACCAAGTTTATCGAAATACAATGCCGAAACATGTCAGGGATGGCGAGTGCTAGGTTTTAAAGATGCACATAAACTGCAAAGTGAATGAACCATAGGCTTGCTACTAACCTTGTGTGGCATCATGAATGACAGGCTTCCTATCTAACCTGCATCACACTGAGCTGTAAGACATTAGAACAGTACATATATTTTTTTTTCATACAGGCTATAGAAGTTTACTCGTTGTTCCTCAGACCAAGGAACTTTACAAAAAATGGCAACAACAACAACACCATGGAGGATTCGGGTAGAGCATAAGGGAAGCAAAAACTAGTCTCTCTCTCATACACAAAGTCTTTCCAGGTCTAACAGGGAAGCGAGTGTTCATATGCAATCACTTTACACATCCCACAGGAGAGTAAGCACTTTTGTTAGCATAAATAATGGCTTACCATTATAAAATGGCTTTACATTTTTCCAATGGAAAAAAAGTAAATTGGCCAAATTTTCGCCGATATGAAATATGACAAGTACAATTTCACTTTCACATCCCTGAGCCTTAGACAACATGCTAAAATGATTTTAAAAAATGAGCAGACACTGCCAGGCCACAGACAACTGGATTTTATTACTAACACAGTGATGCCTATGGGACCAACGTCACCACCCTCAGGAGTTGAGGTGCTACCCATGAGAGCAACAGTGCCACCATCGCCAGCAGCAGTGCCACAAATGGCAGCAACAACACTACGCTCAGGAACAAGAGTGCTCCCTACTAGAACAGCACCATCAACCATCCTTCACTCGAATGGTCAAAGTACTGACGCTCCTACCGGACTTTGGCCTCAAATAAGACCGCATACAAAAAAATATATTGGTCTTCCAAGTACCATCCTTATTTTCATTACACACAAGGACCATTTTTATATTATACTGCTGCTCATTTTTTGTTTCTTCCTCCCATATAGATTCTAAGGACAGTGAACTCCTTCGAGATTCTTCTTCCTAAACAGTTTAACTTTCTGTATTTTTACTGTCATTTGTCCAGCTCGCACTCAAGCAAGAGACTCGAAAGTCCAATAATACTGGGAATGAAAGGAGAAATGGTTGGTATGAGGAGAAGGTGGGGGGGGGTAATGGTTGGCATGAGAGGTGGAAATGGTTCACTTGAGAGGGGAATAATTGGCAGAATATATGACAAACCACCACAAACACTAGAGCTATATAACAGCTGCACGAGAGGGGAGGATTACCTGAATTTAAAATATAATTTTCAGCAATATTATAATAAGAGTAGATTTTTTGGGCCACAGTTCATTTTTTTATACATGAAAAATATCACTTGAGGATCTGACGAGTTTCTGGTCAAGTTTAACGAATGTATAAAGTTTTTGGAGAAAAAAAAGAACAGTAGTTTTCATAAACTCTAGAAAACACTTTACATTTTGTCACATCAACTTAATCTTACGACTATTGCACCACGGTAGGAACACGCCTCTGATGGTGATCTTGCAGTGGAATGACAGCAAAAGTGTCGCTGACCACTGCACTAGTTATCCATCACCCAACTGTGATAACGGTGCCTATAAATGCAGTTTCGCACTCGACATATACATAAACACTTCACACATCTTCAAAATACGATCCATTTTCTGTTGACCCTCAAATATACAACACAAGGACGATATCAACGCATTGGCTCTGGTGTAAGCTTCCACACTGCATGTCTTTTCCAAGATTCTCTCCATCAGAGGTTTACGCTATCAGTAGTTATAACAATACGGCGGGTGGGGCTGGGTTACCGCAGATCAGACATGAGTGGCCAAAGCACCTTGCATGACCTGGGTTCTGGGCGGCACAATATACTGGCTGGGGTCTACAGGTATTCCTAGTCTTGGTATTGTGGAGGTGGCATTTCCCGCTACAGACCCGTTTCCCCTGGAGTTGACATGTAGTGAGAGCGGCAGTGACCCCGAGGAGGTCTTGAAATTGTGGTTGGCAAAGCCATTGTTATAGCCAGGGGAGAAGCCATGGATGCCATCAGTAGCATCATGGCTCCCATCATAATCACTGTAGCCTTTGTAGAGGGAGTGTTGGCTGGAAGTAACAATGCCTGGTGGTGTGTGAGTGTAGCTGCCCACACCCCCAGCGCTGCTCACAACATTCCCACCCATGACGTATCCTCCTGAGGGAGATGACGATTGTGGTTGTTGTTGCGTCTGTTGTTGTTGCTGCTGCTGCTGCTGTTGCTGTTGTCCTGGAGAGACCGTCGAGTGGTCAGCGTAGTTGCTGTAGGATAATCCACCTCCATTGCTGGCAAGGTGACCATTCTGAGGGAGAAAAATCATGCATTACTAAGCACTCGGCAAAAATATATTTTTTAAAAAGATAATTAAATATAAATTATCATCATTTTGAAAGGTGCCACCATCCCATCATAGTATGTAACAGAAACCTACTAAACGTTTTGCGCTTTGGCAGGATTCTTTTCTTTATCAGGAATATACAAGACGACGGATAAATCCCGTAAACTTCTACTTTTATTCACTATAAACTATATTTCTGTACTTAATGACTCTTATTGCTTACTACTAGTTATAATTATGACCAGAATTTTTAAAAGGGTGAACCGGTAAGCCAGCGGAAGGCCTCGGTCGGAGGACCAAAAGCTCCAACCTCGGGTCATCATCTAACACCCGCGTCAGGAAACACTTCTCCTGTTTCCTGACGAGCCTTACCTAACCTCACCTCTTATCGCCGATCAGAAGAAGTATTCTCAAGTTATGTCACAGAGATCAACAACCACTACTTATTTAAGGTGTAAAATTTGCAAATGTGCAAAGTAAATTTATAATGAATCAATTTTAAAGGTTTGAAACCATTCAGAAGATAATGAAAGTCTGAATCCAACCGGAAGAGGCATTCTCAAATTATCACGTGTAAACGACTACAGTGTTTTCAGCCATAAAACTGGTAGCGACACAGAGCAATAATTATTCATCTTCCTCTAAATAAGTATATAAGTACAGAAAATCTGAAGCCGATTAAAAAGAGAATTTTTAATCACAGGGAAAAACTTCCAGGAAGTAAAATTCGGCCAATCGCATTTATGGGCAGCCTTGTAAATAAACAGCCAAAGGACTTACAATTTTCAGAGGGATTCCAGTGAAGGTTTCCGGGTAGAGATAGGAGTTAGTGGAGGCGAGATAGGTGGGAGTAGCTGGGTTTTCACCTTCTTTCTCCCCCCATCCCTCTAGATCTCCCTCCTTGTTGCTCATTGAGGATCCTGTCCGCTGGTCCAACTCAACCTGTAAACAACCAACACTTTTGAATATCTCAACGTTTAACCACAGCAAAAAAAATGGGGGGGGGGGGATGGCAGACACCAAACTAATAAAAAACTTAATGTCCTGATATTCGTCGATTTTGGTCCAAATAAATTATTACAAGTAGGGTGAAAATCACTTTAACAATTGTCAGTATAAGTTTTTTCTAAATCTACTGTAAACACACACACACACACACAAACACATGAAATGCTGGAAAATATTTATCAAGTACATTCGTCCATCACATCTTCAGGGTCATAAGAATGAGCAGATGGGATTTTCCCCTGAGAAATGATTAAACAAGAAGCGCTCAGAAAATTTAAGGTTTTGAATGCTTTATTTCATTATGTGAATAATTTGTTCAGTGTGATTTTCTTATTATTACATCATGGACGTTAAAGGAGCCACAAATAAGGACTTGTAATGAGTTCACAAGACTCCAGAGACTGGAGTGTAAACTCAAGTTTTCAATAATGTGTCCTCAGCTTTACGTTAATAATAATAATTATTGTTATTATTATTAAGGTATAGTGAGGTACCAGGCAGTACTTGCTCCTAAGTTCCTACATTCGTGTATTAAGTCAAAAGCTTGAACTCGCGTCGTTGTAAGGATGTAAGGTTCACGGCAGTGAATGTTACACATGATTCCACACCACAACCATTGCACTCACTGAGAAGCCTTGCCATCAATCTTTCAAACCTTCAGCTATCCTTCCCTTTATCGTATCAAGCCTTTCCATTTTCCCAGGAGCTTTACCGATATCCCATGAATATAATTAATTTTTCAAGCAGGTTAAGAAGAGTGTTCAGTGCCTACCTTCAAGTCAGACTCGTTGGCGGTCGAGTTCTGGTCATTCATCTGTAGTGTCACGGTCTTTTCTGGTAGTCCTCCAGTCTTGACGTCTGCTGAGAAGAATATATATTATTAGCCTGTGTATGTGGGCTCCTACAGAAATATTTTCATAGGGTGTAAAGCATATTACTAATACTACTACCTTTTCTTCCTCTCTCTGTCCCGTCCTTGTCCCCCTCGCCTATATATACTGGCTCCCTCACTCTTTTGTGTTAGTGTGACTTGTACATGATCCAAGTCGCACCGAAACTTCGTCCTAAGCTTCTCTTTCCCATGTGCTGGTTATTTATGAATTATTCCAGACGCGGCATTGTGCCTTGTTCTATATACTTAGTTGGCCGCGAAAATTCGTTTAGTCATCAAATTAATGCTAAATGTCTATTTAAAAGTATCTATCCCGCTGACGTGTGACAGATGCCCAACAGCAGCCTACAGTGATTAACAACAATATTTGCGTACAGGCTTGTGTTTTGTGGTAAAAGGCAAAAGGGGGTAAATGCCCCTCATTCCCTTTTCTTTGAACTCCCATGCGAGCCCTCTCATCAAAACTCTTATTAAGGAAAAGTTTCGCCACGAGTGGCTTCTTCAGTCCTTAATCAGTGCGGGTTTTTTTTTTACCTACAACTTATCAGTCCCACCGTGCATGTATTGTCATCCCCCTGGGTATCATTAATAGTATACAACACCATTACTTGCTGTTGTATACCTGTGTGGTATCGGTTTACCAAAGGAGTGAAGCGGATTTTCATGGGTCGACTTGGTGAAAAAGACAGTTGCAGAAAGAAACTTTTTTTGAGAGGCTTTCTCCTGAGGACAGGCTCAGTCAAAACACATGCTGAAGCAGCTTGTCCACAGGCAAAAAAGTGTCCGTAAAGTTCCTTTCAGCACTTGTGCCCTACCGTCACTTGTCAGCCGTGCGCCATTTGTCTGCAGAGTGACGGCTATCGCCATGGGTTAGCAACCGATTTCCTATAATTACGACGTGAAGAGTTTTAATCCGAGTGTTCGTTATTCTTGGCAGACGTCTGTAGAGAGCTTTAAAATCTGTTATACCAATAAGACTGTTCTTAGCCAATCCTATAACGATTAATGAATTAATCTGGTTATCTTATCAGGCGAGAAAAAAATATCCATTAACTGTAATTTGATGTACGAGCTGAAGGTGACTTGATTACTTCTCAAATATAACAGTGACTTTGTAAATGGTACAAGTCGGACCGAAACGGTGTCATCTCTGTCCCATGTGCGGGTTATTTGTATATTGTTCCAGTCACTGTATCGTCCCTGTATGTTCTTTATGACCCACTTGTTAACCAACACAGACTCTGGAAACTTTCAGTTATATGTCTATTGGGATAAACATGTTAATGTATGACGCGCTCGTATTGTGAGGCAGTTGCTAGCACGTGTCAAGTCCCTTATGTTTGCACTTACGAATATATTATTCTTACAATTGGATATAGCACTTACGTTCCTGTTACGAGTTATTCTATACTTAAAGAGTATACGTATTACCTTTATACTCTTAAGTGGAAACAGAGACAAATGCAGAGTAACGAGATGCTTCACTCAATAAGGCATCTCATTACACTGCATTTGTGTCTCCATCATGTCGATATTTTATACCATTACTGATATTTTATACCATTATACCATTACTCTTTATGCGTGTAAACATATTGGAAGGAATGTGAGTATATAAATTCCAGGCTGTAGATGTGTATTAAAAAAAATTCATTCTTCACTACGCACATACTGAGGTGTGTATATATGCTTAAATTTTAATTCCTATATTAAGGATTAAATTATTCTTGACTGGTGGTGTACAGGTGACACGCAGTTTTGAGGGCCCTCCCATAGTCGATAGAATTTAAACCCTAATAAACCAACCAGACAAACCAAGACCCACCATAACCACGATTCACAGAGCAAAAGCTTTGATGCTGGTGAAAAGATTCAGAGGTAACTCGTCTTCCTCCAAGTATCAAACCAGAATACCTCTAGTTACTCTTTATGGCCCGTACGAATGTAGCACCTCCTCATCGGTTTAATAATCCCGTTTCACTAGGTTTCTGTAACGTGAAGCAAACACAGGTCGCGGAGGCACGAAATCAAGAGGGAACTCTACAGATTCCTTAAAAACAGTTCCTGATCAGCCGGGCTGTGGTGCAAGCGGCGGGCACTAACAGCCTGATCGATCAGACCAAGCAGGTTTAGGACCAGACCGCGGAGGCAGCGATTTCCGGAAGCGAGCATAGGTGATATACTGAGAGGATGATGCGAATGATGACACGCTGAGAAGCTGAAAATAATGACGCACTAATTCTCTGGATTACTAAAGGGAAGAGAGTGCCTTTACCTTCCTTAATGGCTGCTAGTAACATTATTCTACCTTAACAGAGTACCACCCTCCCACTTCAACATCAGGGGTACCACCCTGCCCCTTCAACAATAGGGGTACCACCCTCCCACTTCAACATCAGGGGTACCACCCTGCCACTTACATCAACACAGTGGGGAACCACCTTATAAAAACACACTACCCCTCTTCAACAGAAAATAAACGCGTAAAGAAAACCGAATTCGCATTTCCACGAAAGAAAATAAAAGTTTCATAAAACAGCTTCATTTCCTGGCTAATTAATTAATATAGTCTGGTATTAATATTTGAAGATGATTTGTTGTAGTGGGTAGCAGAGGTAAGGTGGTGGTGATGACCCTGACACACCTGCCCCTGACACACCTGCCCCTCATGGTGATGACCCTGACACACCTGCCCCTGACACACCTGCCTCTCATGGTGATGACCCTGACACACCTGCCTCTCGTGGTGATGACCCTGACACACCTGCCTCTCGTGGTGATGACCCTGACACACCTGCCTCTCGTAGTGATGACCCTGACACACCTGCCTCTCATGGTGATGACCCTGACACACCTGCCCCTGACACACCTGCCTCTGATGGTGATGACCCTGACACACCTGCCTCTCATGGTGATGACCCTGACACACCTGCCTCTCATGGTGATGACCCTGACACACCTGCCTCTCGTGGTGATGACCCTGACACACCTGCCTCTCGTGGTGATGACCCTGACACACCTGTCTCTCATGGTGATGACCCTGACACACCTGCCTCTCATGGTGATGACCCTGACACACCTGCCTCTGATGGTGATGACCCTGACACACCTGCCTCTGATGGTGATGACCCTGACACACCTGCCTCTCATGGTGATGACCCTGGCACACCTGCCTCTCATGGTGATGACCCTGACACACCTGCCTCTCATGGTGATGACCCTGGCACACCTGCCTCTCATGGTGATGACCCTGACACACCTGCCCCTGACACACCTGCCTCTGATGGTGATGACCCTGACACACCTGCCTCATGGTGATGACCCTGGCACACCTGCCTCTCATGGTGATGACCCTGGCACACCTGCCTCTCATGGTGATGACCCTGACACACCTGCCTCTCATGGTGATGACCCTGACACACCTGCCTCTCATGGTGATGACCCTGACACACCTGCCTCTCGTGGTGGTGACCCTGACACACCTGCCCCTCGTGGTGATGACCCTGGCACACCTGCCTCTCGTGGTGATGACCCTGACACACCTGCCTCTCGTGGTGATGACCCTGACACACCTGCCTCTCGTGGTGATGACCCTGACACACCTGCCTCTCGTGGTGATGACCCTGACACACCTGCCTCTCGTGGTGATGACCCTGACACGCCTGCCTCTCGTGGTGATGACCCTGACACACCTGCCTCTCGTGGTGATGACCCTGACACACCTGCCTCTCATGGTGATGACCCTGGCACACCTGCCTCTCATGGTGATGACCCTGACACACCTGCCTCTCATGGTGATGACCCTGACACACCTGCCTCTCGTGGTGGTGACCCTGACACACCTGCCCCTCGTGGTGATGACCCTGGCACACCTGCCTCTCGTGGTGATGACTCTGACACACCTGCCTCTCGTGGTGATGACTCTGACACACCTGCCTCTCGTGGTGATGACCCTGACACACCTGCCTCTCGTGGTGATGACCCTGACACACCTGCCTCTCGTGGTGATGACCCTGACACACCTGCCTCTCGTGGTGATGACCCTGACACACCTGCCTCTCGTGGTGATGACCCTGACACACCTGCCTCTCATGGTGATGACCCTGGCACACCTGCCTCTCATGGTGATGACCCTGACACACCTGCCCCTGACACACCTGCCTCTCATGGTGATGACCCTGACACACCTGCCTCTCATGGTGATGACCCTGACACACCTGCCTCTCATGGTGATGACCCTGGCACACCTGCCTCTCATGGTGATGACCCTGACACACCTGCCTCTCATGGTGATGACCCTGGCACACCTGCCTCTCATGGTGATGACCCTGGCACACCTGCCTCTCATGGTGATGACCCTGACACACCTGCCTCTCATGGTGATGACCCTGACACACCTGCCTCTCATGGTGATGACCCTGACACACCTGCCTCTCATGCCTCACGCACTAGTAAAAGCAAATTAAAATCACCTCTCTCAAAGCCTCTCCAAACATATAATCACACTGGTGCAATTTTCTTCAGGTTATGAGTAGCCGAAGTAAACAATGGTACAACCACCAATCTTGTTGTTTTGCGCCATTTATCTACGATAATATATATATATATATATATATATATATATATATATATATATATATATATATATATATATATATATATATGTCATACCGAAAAGGTAAAACTTGCAATTTTGGCTTAAATAGCAGCGCTCTTCTTGCCGAATAAGGCAAGAAAAATTTTTTATATGCAATAATTTCGCAAACGTCGTTTGAACTTAACGATAAAAAATATACATTTCATTGTGATTTTTATTATAAAATTATTATAAACTTACATAAAATATATTTAGATGGATTAGGTTCAATTAAACTGTACTTGTTATAATAAGGTTAGGTAAGTTTTCTAATTTTTTTTTGGCACAAAAAAACTTAATTTTTGCATTAACATAAACGAAAAAAAAAAATATGTCTTTAAATGTATAAGAGAAAATTTTAGGACTTAATTTTAAATGAGTTTTTGCTGATTGACCAGTTTTACCTATTCAGCACGACATATATATATATATATATATATATATATATATATATATATATATATATATATATATATATATATATATATATATATATTATATTATATTGTGTGTTGTGAGTGGTGCGTGTGTGTTAGTTAGTTACCATTTTGTCCTAGGCACATGTCGATTAGACACTAGGCCTGTTGTATATGAGTGCGTGCGTGTGTGTGTGTGCGTGTGTGTGTGTATATGTGTGTGTCTGTGTGTGTCTGTCTGTCTGTCTGTGTCTCTGTGTGTATGTCTGTGTATGTCTGTGTGTGTCTGTGTGTGTGTGTTGTGTGGTGTGTGTGGTGTGTGTGTGGGGTGTGTGTGTGTGTGTGTGTGTGTGTGTGTGTGTGTGTGTGTGTGTGTGTGTGTGTGTGTGTGTGTGTGTGTGTGTGTGTGTGTGTGCGCGCGCGCGCGCGCTCTAGATGATGCATCAATACGTAACGAATACCGATCACTGGAAGAAAAATGTCTACACAAAGACAAAACTAAGTCTTCAGTAAGTTTAAAACAAAAAAAGTCTCTCCTTAGTAACCAGCCTGTGTAGCTGTGAGAGTAGATGAATGGTTCAGAGAACCGACATTTTGTTGAATTAGACACATGTGCAACTCTTGGGTATCTTTATTGAGGAAACGTTTCGCCACACAGTGGCTTCATCAGTCCATATAAAGGAGAAACTTGAAGAACAGGAGGAGAATGAGGTAATCAGTCCCTCAGCCTTGAGTCGATGTGGTCAGTCCATCAATCTCATATGAGAGGAGAAGCAGCTTATAAACTGTAGACAGGTGAGAGGCAGCAGTCGTAGGTGGTGTCACATTTGTCCAATGTGGAAGTAGGTCGTGCCCAAGGGTTGGGAATTCTTCACTTGCCTAAGTATTAAGATCCCAAGAAGTTGCAGTGTCTGACAGGATTGTAGAGCAATGGTTCACAGAACCATTTCTCCACTGTGTGGCGAAACGTTTCCTCAATAAAGATACCCAAGAGTTGCACATGTGTCTAATTCAACAACGTGTCAGTTCTGTGAACCATTCATCTACAATCCTGTCAGACACTGCAACTTCTTGGGATCTTAATACTTGGGAATTCTTCACTTGCCTAACCCTTGGGCACGACCTACTTCCACATTGGACAAATGTGACACCACCTACGACTGCTGCCTTTCACCTGTCTACGGTTTATAAGCTGCTTCTCCGCTCATATGAGATTGATGGACTGACCACATCGACTCAAGGCTGAGGGACTGATTACCTCATTCTCCTCCTGTTCTTCAAGTTTCTCCTTTGTATGGACTGATGAAGCCACTGTGTGGCGAAACGTTTCCTCAATAAAGATACCCAGGAGTTGCACATGTGTCTAATTCAACAACAGCTGTGAGAGCAAGTCGTAGTAATCAAATTACTTCGCTGATGCAATATTGGTGGTTGACCTGGTGAGCGCTGAGACAGATCTGCGTGTTCCAACCTCGTTCATACTACACTTTCAATCATTATATATCACTAACATAAAATCAAAAGGTAAAACAAAACCAGGGTCAACGATCGAACACTAACACAATACGAACAATAAACCCCTGGCTGCCTTCAAGAGAGAGCTGGACAGATACCTAAAGTCAGTGCCGGATCAGCCGGGCTGTGGCTCGTACGTTGGACTGCGTGCGGCCAGCAGTAACAGCCTAGTTGATCAGGCCCTGATCCATCGGGAGGCCTGGTCATGGACTGGGCCGCGGGGGCGTTGATCCCCGGAATAACCTCCAGGTAACGTTACCACTCAAGAGAGACGATCTTGACCAAAAGATTCAGCACTGTATGACCCTTGTGGGTCTAGAGCTTAGTTGTGATAATGATAATTATCAATAGACTAATAGATAAAACTACGCCAAGAAATCTTGTTCTGCATGAAATCTGTTTAGGGAAACGGGAAATTAAACCGCGGAACGGGCGAGGTTTTTAAACCAGTTTCGTGGTTTGTTTGGAATCATGTTATTTTAGATTTCGCGAGTCATAATAAAAGGGAATTTTTTTTAATGGGGAAGCACAAAATCCAAGGGGAACCATACAGTTCCTGGGAAATGGAGGGAGACTATGGTTTGATCCAAGGGAAGTGCTGGTCTAGTTTATCCTTGAAGGAGAAAACCAGAAGATATGCTAATACAATTTTTCTGGAAGAGAGGGAAAATGTCAGGAATGGGAAGATAGTACCATATAGGCCTACATGGTACTATCTACATGGTAGAGTACCATGTAGGCCTACAGGCTGTGACACAGTACCACGTAGGCCTACAAACTGTGTGACAGTATCATGTAGGCCTACAAACTGTGTGACAGTACCATGTAAGCCTACAGGCTGGGTGACAGTACCATGTAGACGCACGGACACATTATACCATTGTGAAAGCTCTAAATCTGTAGGGGTCTTACGGTGCGTGGGGAATTGGGAGACAGTCTTGATCCAAGAAAGTGGAAGATAGATTCAATTACCTGGATGAAGAGCCCTTTAACAGCATCGAGGCACCTTGAAGAGCGTGCAAGTAGCCTAGGCAGTAAATAGGGTGGTAGCTTTGAGCTGGGTTGGTCGGTCAATTTTAACTGATTTCAGCAGTTGTAAGTTTAAAGAGGCAGTATTTAACTATAAGGATTGTTAAGAATTTTCAGTATATGGGATCAGCAGTCTTGAAAAACGAGGGGGAGAAGGAGAGACAGAGATGGAATAGTAGCAAATGGGTTGTAGACGTAGTAGTAGTACTGACTGTAGAATGGTAATAACTACATGAATAATATAGGCGTTAGAGAGAGAGGGATTATAATACTAGAGATGGTAGTAGAAGCAATAATTGTAGAGTCAGTAACAGTAACTTCAGTGGTCAAAGTTGTGGCAGAAGTTGCAGAAAAAGGGTGAAAATGACATTACTAGACCAAAACACACGATTTCAATGTGACTGAGGGTCGAGGTACTCTAGAACTCGCCCCAATGCCTCACTATCATATATGTGCATGTTTAAACGCGCGCACTCCCCTGCTACTTCATATAGGTGTGTACACATGTATACACTCTCTAGGACTCTCCCCTCCTCCCTCGTGTCAGGCAGAAAACACACACACATGAGGCACTCCATGACTCACCTTTGTGTTTTGCAGCTGCCCTCCTGGCACACATGATAACTGCGAGTACTACCACCAGGACGAAGACGATGCCTCCCGTCACACCACATAAGATCAGCAGCAGCGGTAGTGTCTCTGTTGTGGGGAGACGAACAGTTGGTGAGAAGTGAGGAGAGGTCAGGGAGGGAGAAATGGATACCTCAAGGACGTTTCCGAGAGTCAGTGCCCCCTTCTGCTATACACGATAATTATATTGTGAGAACAGAAGGCAGCTCTGTCGTTCCCCTGTCGTATTCCATCACACAGAATGGGTTTCTTATATCAAGTAATGAAATCGGACAGAGTGAACTTGGAGACTTCAGTGGGGCAGTGAGGCTATCACTTAACATTACAATAAGGTAAGGAATGAGGCAGATGGTGGGTGACTGTTTTCTTAGATTTCTTCGACAAATTATTGCCGGGAAATCTCCGTAGATATTTGATGAATGAGAGGGAAAAGAGTGGGAAGGGATTAAATGCTGGAGGAGGAAGACAAGAGTGGATGGGGGGAATTACCAGATGAGAGTAAACGGCTCTTGAGGTGAAAGAGTAGGTGGAAAATTATAAGGTGAGACGTATACTGATGTTGAAGTGATAGGGAGAATGGAAGATAGTAAGGGAGGTATGACTGAGGGTGATGCCAGATCGCAGTGAGAGAGGGAGAAGGGTAATGCAGTGTTTGAGTGTGTGCTTTTATGTTTGCACGCCTGTGTACATTAAAGAGTGTAATTATGAAGGGGAGCAGACTAGGAAATTACAGGTATTAGTACATCATTTTCTTATTAAAAATTAAAGGTAAATAGATCAGGTGACTTACGTCCTCTTACACCCTCCCGAGGGTGTAAGAGCAGGTAAATCACCTAGAGACTTTTCACCATGTTTACTTTTGAGTACAGACTCAGTTTCCACCCAAGGTTTACACTCAGCCACCAGCACCCACTGACGCAGTGTGCACTCTACAGTCACTCAGCAACACCCACTGACGTGCTTACACTCACCTGAAGCCTTTATGGATCTATAAATTTCATTTTATGAGCGACTGTTCAAAGGAGCATAACATGTAACTAATATATCTGGATTGTCAGCCACCCCCCCAACACACACAAAAAAAAAAAAAGCCATGAAATAAACGACAGAGGAGAATGCCTTACTTTTCTTGTTAAGAATGATTTCGAAGACGTCAGAACCAAATGTGTTGCTAACTGAGCAGTTATAGGCACCAAAGTCCTTGAGCTGGGCATTACGGATGACGAGGGAGTGACGGAGGCCCTGGCTTGTGACGTCCTCACTCACCTCGTAACGTCCCTCTTCTGTAACAGTAAAGTAGGAAGGCGTGACGCAATGTTTCACTGAAGTAGGGAGGAACAGGCAGTACTATTTATAATATTCTTTGCGATAGTTGGAGCAAGCACTAATAACCTTCTTAAACAGTAGACGTGAAAAGGGCTATCATTTCCTTGCTTATATTAAAGACATGTAGAATAATTTCCCTGGTTAATCAGAGATTTAAAGCTATTTTTTTCCCTTTGAAAGTTAGGTATGAGACTCGTTATTTTAGAAAAGCAAGCAAATCATTTGTATTTATGAGACAACGAAGAAAAGCGATGACAAACGTGAAACACCTAAGTGTCTTGAGTGAAAGCAGTGAGGCTCCCTGTATAACAGGGGGAATCTGATGTTACATTGGGACCTGAGAGAGAGAGAGACTCACCAAGATCGACCTCGACGCCATTGTGACTCCAAGTGACAGTGACGGAGCGAGGGGAGGCAGCAGTGACCAGGCACTCGACCATGACTGTGTCACCCTGCTTGCCCCACTGGATCCTCTCAGACTTCACTTGGGGAGGACCCTGTCAAAGACAACATAAGGCGTCCTCAGTAGCGTTCCTCCTTCACAACCAAAGTCCTAAACACTGATTACTTTTCTCAAATTAAAACTTAACTATAAAATGATGGGTAGTTTCATTAGATGACCGCGGGTTCAAATCCCGCCCGTGGTATGGGTTGTTTACAATCGTGTCATTACGATTTCGTGAGTCATGACGCAAGATAATAACTACGTCATAATAACTATAACAAAAATAATCCCAGGTTATGGACATTTGTAGGAATATTGGCTTTCTAATTATTGAAAATTTTGTGTAATTTAATCTTTTCTTTTTTTTTGGCAGATTCAGTAGTTTGGATCCAAGCTTAAAATGAACTAACAACTGATTTAGCACTGCTGCTTTACCTGACAATGTACACGAAACATCAAATGATGATAATGCCTAGAATATGTTCATACTGATTTTTGCGAATATCTTACTCAGTAATTATACATATACATATATTGTGACATACAGAGAGTACGTAACCTTTATTCGGCGCATGTACACACCCTCATTGAAATGCTATCTCTCCCAACCAGCGAACCAAGTGCTAAGGGTTAACGATGGGGCCCCATCGTTCAATCAGTACCCAGGTTCCAGCCAATGAGAAGATGGTTTTGGCAATCCCAGAGGTGTTGTGGGCACCACTCGCCTGTCTGCCCTTGTCATTCCCATTCTAGAGCTGGTTGAAGCACGGTCTGCTCTCTAGTGGCTTCTATTCTGCCTTGTTTACCGTGGATTGCACTAATACCTATTGTTGTACATAGTGTATATAGTGTACATACCTCTGTTCTAAACTGGTGAAGGATAAAACAAGTCAAAAGCTTTTCTGCTGTGTTTATTTTGATCCCTTTACATCCAGGATAACAGGCCTTTGGGACTCCTGAGTTGTAATATATATATATATATATATATATATATATATATATATATATATATATATATATATATATATATATATATATATATATATATATATATATATTTGGTTTCACTGTCCCTTAAGGGAGGGAAAATGCATTTATATTGAAGAGGCTTTGATCCATGAAATTAAGGCTATCTTCTCATTCCTTGTATCAAACTTAGGGTCGTCACCCCGATGCCCCCCCCCCCCCCCCGAAAAAATCATAAGCATACGAGAATAACTGAAGGATGCTTAGTGACCCATGATTAAATAACTTGACCTTGTTTATCAAGTTGTGGTTATTATCCTGACCTTGTTAATCCAGTGGTTCTTATCCTGACCTTATTAATCGAATGGCTGCTGTTATTCTGACCTAATTAATTAAGGGACTGCTGTTATGACCTTATTAATCAAGGGGTTGTTGTTATCCTGACCTTATTAATCAAGTGGATATTGCAACCAACATTCTTTATGAATTAAATGTCAAGGGCATTTCATGGACGTCCATTATTTTTCTAGGTTTGATTATTGAATATTCTCAACATATTAATATTAATGTGACAATAATAATTCAATTAAAATTTCAGTGTGAAGCGTAGAAGAGCTCAACAACGTACCTTGAGAAAGACCCCGACGGTGCCGGAGATTTCTGGGAAGCCCTCCACCTTGGCGATGCAGAGGTAAGCTCCGACGTTGGCCTTAGTGACCTTGATGTGGAGCTCAGAGCCTTTGCCCACCACCGTCTGCGACTGCTGGTTGATCCAGACGATGGTTGGATCTGGCATGGAGTCCACCTGGCACTTGAGGGTCACGTTGTCGCCCACTTCAGCGTACTGGTCGCTCGGAGGAACGCGGAACGATGGCCCGTCTGGAGAGAGATGTAAATAAAAAACTGGTGATCTAGTGGATTACCGTTGTACCTTTATATTAAAGGTGTCGCTCTGTGTAGATATTTTCTAGTCATTGGCTTTAGGAAGCTCTACATAAAAAAGAAGCTTATTTTTCAACTATGTTTTTACTGTCGACAGCACGCTGCTGCTGCTGCTGCTGCTGCTGTATCAGAATTTACATACGAATCCCTCTTAAGGGAGTAGAGGTGAAGAGTTCTTGATATAAAAAGCTGGAGTCACCCTTTGCCTTAGATCAAAATCTGATTACCTCCCATTCCCTTCAGGAGCTAGATATGACCCGCTACGAGTTTAGAACTTCCGGAGAAACCCGTCACATCTCTTCTGCCTCCCTCACGTCTCTCTCTCCACTCTCTTCTAATCTACCCTACCCTCAACATTCCCCATTTGTGTGTCCCTCTATTCTTATTCCTCTTCTTCTGGAGGTCAGAAGAGCAGAGACACTGATCAGGCATCATCAGTGTGAGGACATCAGGAAGACGGAGGTTAATTTAACGGAGACACGATACACTCCTGAAGGAGTCAGTGACGAGTGTCCTGGACGCCCTCCCTCACCCACCCCATCAAGAGATGAAGAGGAAAGACAGATAGGAATCAAATAATCTTAGAGAGAGAGAGAGAGAGAGAGAGAGATAAGAAAGGCTTGTGTTATTTGCCATGGTAAACACTGTGACCAACTTGCCCTAAACTGTGCCCAATATTGCCCAACTTTCGACCCTTTTTTAATAAATCTAAGTTGCCTTGCACAAGCCTCAAATTAGGTAAATAGTTGACGTGTGCGTCTCAACTTAGTTTACGGGGTGACAAAATTATCTCAGCTTAGAGGTGGCTATGGTGGGTGAGTTGATGGTGGGGTGGGGGATGAGAGAGAGAGAGAGAGAGAGAGAGAGAGAGAGAGAGAGAGAGAGAGAGAGAGAGAGAGAGAGAGAGAGGGGGGGAGGGGGTAAGATGCAGGGGTTGGTGGGTGGGCGAGTAGATAAATGGAGCGGTTGAAGGGGTTATTAGCGCTGTTTCTGCCGGGTTGGGACTGCTATGTGGGCTTTGCTGGCGGCTAGCGCAAACAGCCTGGTAGAGCAGGTCAACAACCTCCAGCCTGTGTTACCTTATCAAGGTCCAGGCTGACTTCCTGACAACTTTTTCTGCATATTCCTGTACTGTTCGTGTACGTTACTGCACTTTTTTTTTTTGTATGTTACCGTACTGTTCTTGCATGTTCGAATGTCGTTGTTTTGTGTTAATGTGTCGTTGTTCTGTGTTACCGCACTGTCTTTGTTGTTGACGGTGATCTTGATTCATGAATTTCAAAGTGAAATTACAGGAGTCTCTAGTAAAAATTATCGAAAGGAAAACAAAAACTATTTGAGCCCTTTGCACATTCTTTAAATGTGTATTGAGTTTTGCGGCGCCGCACACACGCTGTCGTAAGACACCTGGATATCTTTACTGACGAGAGGTTTCGCCCAGACGGCAGTCGCCTTTGTATTAGACCTTATAAAGCCTGCTGCGGAGGCGAAACGTCTCGCCGAATATGCGTACAGGTGTTACACAAGTGCCTCATACATCAATAAAGGTGTCCAGGTGTTGTTGCACGTGTGTCTTATTCATTAATAAAGACAGGTGTTGCACATTGTCTTATTCATTAATAAAGACACTTAGGTGTTGCACATGTGTCATATTCATCAATTTGTTGTTCTTGTACATCATTAAAGTAATGGCTCTGCCGTAATAAAACAAACCAGACCATTCATTGTGACATTCGTTATCTTACATCGTTGCCTGACACCATCCATTTGTTGACGTTTCTTAATGGTTCGTTCGTTCGTGTGTTTTGTTTACCGTCGTACGTCATTTGTTCCCGGAAACGTAGTTATTTATTTGTTGTGTGGTCTTGGATTATGACTGCCTAGTATTAGGTAAATAAATACCTGCACGCACGCACAAACACACGCGAGTACGTACATGCGGGCGCGCGCGCGCACACATACGCACAGAGGACAAGTGTGTAGTGACGAGGAGAGGAACCTGTGACATGGTATACCTTAATATACCCGAGGCAGCTTTCCAGTGTTCCTCCACTCTGGAAAGCCCTGGTCTGACCAACCAGGCTGTTATTGTTCCCTAACAGTAGAAATTTAAGTGGAACAAAAATATATAACGGAGAATACTCTGTAAAGCATTAAAAATAATTTCCGGGTTTGTCGTTTTAATAATAATAATAATAATGAATAATTTGAACTCGTAACAAATACCTCCAAAAGTTTATTTCTGACAAACACGAGAAAATTAACATAACAGTAAGAAAAATTGTGATATAGTCTCTCAGAACTTGGAAGGATAGATGACTTAACGAGAGTATATCACCACCACTATATCACTATCGCCACCACCAGTATATCACTATCACCACCACTATATCACTATCGCCACCACCAGTATATCACTATCACCACCAACAATATATCACTATCACCACCAATATATCACTATCACCACCAATATATCACTATCACCACCAATATATCACTATCACCACTTAGCGTGTGTCTTGCCATTATTACGAAACGTTCATGACAAAGATGTATTCGTTGTCAACAAAGAACATACGTCAGTTCATCTGTCAAACCTGTCAGCCAGTCTGACAGCCCACCTGTCAATCTCAGCTTGTCCCAACGCCAATACTTGGAGCTGTGATACTGTCACAGAGAGCGTACTCGAGGTCGTATCTGTCAGATTCTTCAAGTTCTGTGGATTATACTCAGTGAATCCCTGCCATGAATCCCTACCCTGGCTCCACCACACGGCTACTCAACATGCTGCCATGAATCCCCACCCTGGCTCCACTACACGGCTACTCACCATACTGCCATGAATCCCTACCCTGGCTCCACCACACGGCTACTCAACATGCTGCCATGAATCCCCACCCTGGCTCCACTACACGGCTACTCACCATACTGCCATGAATCCCTACCCTGGCTCCACCCACACGGCTACTCAACATGCTGCCATGAATCCCCACCCTGGCTCCACTACACGGCTACTCACCATACTGCCATGAATCCCTACCCTGGCTCCACCACACGGCTACTCAACATGCTGCCATGAATCCCCACCCTGGCTCCACTACACGGCTACTCACCATACTGCCATGAATCCCTACCCTGGCTCCACCACACGGCTACTCAACATGCTGCCATGAATCCCCACCCTGGCTCCACTACACGGCTACTCACCATACTGCCATGAATCCCTTCCCTGGCTCCAATACACGGCTACTCAACATGCTGCCATGAATCCTCACCCTGGCTCCACCACACGGCTACTCACCATACTGCCATGAATCCCTTCCCTGGCTCCACCACACGGCTACTCAACATGCTGCCATGAATCCCCACCCTGGCTCCACTACACGGCTACTCACCATACTGCCATGAATCCTCACCCTGGCTCCACCACACGGCTACTCACCATACTGCCATGAATCCCCACCCTGGCTCCACCACACGACTACTCGCCATACTGCCATGAATCCCCACCCTGGCTCCACCACACGGCTACTCACCATACTGCCATGAATCCCCACCCTGGCTCCACCACACGGCTACTCACCATACTGCCATGAATCCCTACCCTGGCTCCACCACACGGCTACTCACCATACTGCCATGAATCCCCACCCTGGCTCCACTACACGGCTACTCACCATACTGCCATGAATCCCCACCCTGGCTTCATCACACGGCCATGAATACCCACCCTGGCTCCACCACACAGCTACTCACCATACTGCCATGAATCCCCACCCTGGCTCCACCACACGGCTACTCACCATACTGCCATGAATCCCCACCCTGGCTTCATCACACGGCTACTCACCATACTGCCATGAATCCCCACCCTGGCTCCACCACACAGCTACTCACCATACTGCCATGAATCCCCACCCTGGCTTCACCACACGGCTACTCACCATACTGCCATGAATCCCCACCCTGGCTCCACCACACGGCTACTCACCATACTGCCATGAATCCTCACCCTGGCTCCACTACACGGCTACTCACCATACTGCCATGAATCCCCACCCTGGCTCCACTACACGGCTACTCACCATACTGCCATGAATCCCCACCCTGGCTCCACTACACGGCTACTCACCATACTGCCATGAATCCCCACCCTGGCTCCACCACACGGCCATGAATCCCACCCTGGCTCCACTACACGGCTACTCACCATACTGCCATGAATCCCCACCCTGGCTCCACTACACGGCTACTCACCATACTGCCATGAATCCCCACCCTGGCTCCACCACACGGCCATGAATCCCCACCCTGGCTCCAATACACGGCTACTCACCATACTGCCATGAATCCCCACCCTGGCTCCACTACATGGCTACTCACCATACTGCCATGAATCCCCACCCTGGCTCCACTACACGGCTACTCACCATACTGCCATGAATCCCCACCCTGGCTCCACTACACAGCTGCTCACCATACTGCCATGAATCCCCACCCTGGCTCCACCACACGGCCATGAATCCCCACCCTGGCTCCACTACACGGCTACTCACCATACTGCCATGAATCCCCACCCTGGCTCCACTACACGGCTACTCACCATACTGCCTTGAATCCTCACCCAGGCTCCACCACACGACTACTCGCCATACTGCCATGAATCCCCACCCAGGCTCCACCACACGGCTACTCACCATACTGCCATGAATCCCCACCCAGGCTCCACCACACGACTACTCGCCATACTGCCATGAATCCCCACCCAGGCTCCACCACACGGCTACTCACCATACTGCCATGAATCCCCACCCAGGCTCCACCACACGACTACTCGCCATACTTCCATGAATCCCCACCCTGGCTCCACTACACGGCTACTCACCATACTGCCATGAATCCCCACCCTGGCTCCACTACACAGCTACTCACCA